CTTCTTCTTCTTCTTCTTCTTCTTCTTCTTCTTCTTCTTCTTCTTCTCCTTCTCCTTCTCCTTCTCCTCCTCCTCCTCCTCCTCCTCCTCCTCCTCCTCCTCCTCCTCCTCTTTCCTTCTCCTTCTCATCTTCTCCTTCTCCTCTTCTTCTTCCTCCTCCTCCTCTTTTCCTCCTCTTCCTCCTCTTTCCTTCTCCTTCTCCTTCTCCTCTTCCTCCTTCTCCTCTTCTCCTCCTCCTCTTCTTTCCTCCTCCTCCTCCTCCTCCTTCTCCTCTTTCCTTCTCCTTCTCCTTCTCCTCATCTTCCTCTCTTCTTCCTCCTCTTCGTCCTCCTCATCTCCTCGTCCTCTTTCCTCCACCACCACCTTCTCTTCTTCTTCTCCTCTTTCTCCTCCTCCTCCTCCTCCTCCCTCCTCCTCCTCCTCCCTCCTCCACTTTCTTCCCCAAATGGGTGAAAACTCATTTCTTGGTGTGAAATACGTCTTAGATAAATGCACATGGTTTTTCCCTCCCCTGTAATAGTTCCTTATTATATAAGGCAGTGAATGTGTCTTTATGTGTGATGGGAAATCTTAAACTTAATGAGTGCTCGTTGGCTAAATACACCCATTTTTCTTTCCCCATTATGACTGATAGATGGATAATTTTTCTATCTATCTCGGGAGTTGCATTTGGGCTAATTGGGAAACACGGCATAAATAAGTGAACTTTCAGAGGGAGATGATCTTCGGTGCAGAAAGATTGCAAACATTCTCAAGGAACATTTGCCGAATGCCTTTTGTCTCAAAGGGTTGCGGAAATGGAAAAATGTGAAAGTGCTGTAATAGGTAGTGTTCGACTTATGACCACAGCGGAGCCCCAAATTTCTGTTGCTGAGTGAGACGTTTGTTAAGTGACATAATGGAAAATACTTGTCACTCTTGTTTTAGATTTTGGCAGTAGTTTGCTCTCCCAAGTTTGCGTCAATTTAGTTTCTGAGCATTTTGTTACCAGACTAGGTAATAACATGAGTTAGGCTGTACTTGTCCTGTTCTCCTTAGCTTATAAATGTCTTGTTTGGTCAGTTGGTTGTTCATTTGGAGCTGTACTTGTTCAGTGAATTTTTGCCCCATTGTACGACGTCCCTTGACACGTTGGTTTAGGGAATCCCTGCAGTTGTTAAATTAGTAACACAGTGGTTGGTTCAGCGAATCTGGCTTCCCCCGTCGACTTTCCATGTCGGGAGGTCGCAAAAGGGGGTCCCGTAACCCCGGGAACACTGCCCCCGTCATAACTATGAACCGGTTGCCAAGCATCTGCATCAGTGGTGGGATTCAAAAAAATTTACTACCGGTTCTGTGGACGTGGTGTGGCTTGGTCGGCATGGCAGGGGTGGCAGGGGTGGGGAGGGAATCCCCATTCCCTCCCCACCCCACTAACCTGCTTTCCAGCTCCGTTCTCTTGTGCAGGGCAACAAAAGAAGACCCAGCGATCAACTGGGACTCAATGGGAGGCAGAGAATAGATGGGGGTGGGGCCAGTCAGAGGTGGGATTTGCCGGTTCTCTGAACTACTCAAAATTTCTGCTACCGGTGCTCCTGAATGGGTCAGAACCTGCTGAATACCACCTCTGATCTGCATGTATATCACACGACCGGGGGGGGGTTCATAAGTGGGGGAAAAGGGTCATCGGTCACTTGTTTGCAGTGACGTTACAACCTTTGAACCATCACTAAGTGAACTGTTTTAAGTCAAGGACTACCTGTAAAATCTCCCGTGGATGTGCATGTACACACACCCTTCACCCACTGTTGTGGTTAGCCGGCAGCAGGTGCGGATGGCTGAGGAGAGCGAGGACTCAGCTGAGGGGCCAGGACCATTAGGGAGTGGACTGCTGCCTTCAGAGATTGTGGGGGCTGGCAGCAGCGATGAGGAGGTTCCTGAGGAGCCTGTGCTAAGTGCGCGTGCGCACAGGGTTGCTCGTAGGAAAGAGCAGCTGCAGCAGCACGGGCGACTTGGGAGTAAGGCTGCAAGGTAATGGCCCCTCGTTCAAGAAGATAAAAGCCAGCTGTGAAGCGAATGTTCTTTGCAGGAAGCAAAGACGTTTTGAAAATCAGTCTCGTGGACATTACAGTTGATATTTGAAGACTCTTGTGTTGTGAAACATTCCTTACCTGTGATTCTTGCCCAGTTTTGGCGAGGCTTGTGCTTGTCAAAGTTAATTAGGTTGCAGCAGCCTTTTAACTGGGGATTTATAAGAATCATTAAAAGTTTTCTGTTCCCTTTGGTTCGTGTTTGTTTTATTGGAAAAGGATTTAGGTCAGAACACCCACTCGCCAGGTCTGAAGGACACAAAAGGAAAATTGTGTGTGCTTTCATGCTGGTTTTCTTTTTCTTTTTTTTTGCAAATATGCCGCACGATAGCTGATGAATTCACAGGCCCAGGCAACAGCAGAATTCCCCCATTGTTCCCTGCACACTCCGCTCCATCACATCTGCCTTCCTATCCATGCCCCCTTCATGTGCCAAAAGGAGTTGGCACCTGTGGCTCCAACAGGCTTGGCCATTGGCATCTCCCTGTCCTTTTCAGCTGCCAAACAGATCCCCATCCTTGGCAATAGACACTCGTGCCTGGATGTTCCTCATCTCAGCAAGGCTTAAACATAAGACTTTCCAGTAGCCAATAACACACACACACACACACACACACACACACACACACACACGGTCCAATGTTCACCAGAAGAGGGTTTTAAATGCTTTTTTGATGCAGGCAGCTCTTCAGAAGTCCGAGAACTTGAGAAAACGAGGAGCTTAAAGGCAGAACAAAAGGGAGAAGATCAAGGCAAGCAGAAAAAAATAGCCTGTCTGGGTATTTTCTCCCGGAACACCTTTTTTTTTTTTTTTTAAGTAGGCAACACATTGACAAAGGACTGGGGAGAATATATTTAATACCAGTATTGTGCAGAAGAATATGCCCGTATCTTTTTTGGGGGGGTTTCCCCCTCCCTTCCCAGTTCTATTCAATTTGATGAAAGAGAATATGCTTCCAAACGAGAAATTCTTCAGGCTGCAGTGTCAAGTTCTTTACTGCAGAATGAGGTGTGGGACAAGGGTGTGGAAAAACAATATTTCTTAACATTATACGATTCCCCCTCCAGCCCTTCGGTGAAGCTCTGTAACAGAATAACAGAGTTGAAAGGGACCTTAGAGGTCTTCTAGTCCAACCCCTGACTCAAGCAGAAGATCCAATACCATTCTGGACAAACAGTTGTCCAGTGTTTTTTTTAAACTTCTGGAGGCAAGCTGTTCCACTGCTTAATTGTTCCTACCCTTAGGAAATTTCTCCTTAGTTCCAGGTTGCTTCTCACCTGGTTTTAGTTTCCATCCATTCTTTCTTACCTTGCCTTCTGGTGCTTCGGAAAATAGGTTTCTATAGCTTTCTGTACTTTTGTTTGACCCCATAAAAGGCTACAGGCAGGGACTTTTTCAGGGGGAGGGGACAGCCAGGAAAATGATCACCTCAGCAATAACTCACCTTCCAAAAGCAATAAAGAAAGCTTAAAAAAAAAAAAAAGCTAATGGGAGAAGTTTGGAAGAACGTTCCTGGCATCCGGAGAAGACAGGGAAGCAAAGATCTCATTAGCAGAAGGAGTAATTCTGGAAAAATTACAAGCTCGTTTTGGTGCCACGTGGTTTCAAGCCGTCTGTTACGTCCAAGAGATAGAGGCAAGGAGCATCTTGGCTTGTGTCTTCAAGGCTGTGTAGTGTTAGTTGGGGCTGAGGTCTTCCCCAATTGTTACACAAGCCTGGTGCACCACAATAGGGGCAGCCTGGGTCAGGCTGGGCCCCCTATCATTAGGTATATAGGGACCCCCTCAGCAGTAGATGCCAGGAAAAACAAAAAGGTTGCAGGAAACGAATGGAGAACAGTCATATGCTTTCTACCCTGGGCTTCCTTGTTCCCTATCAGGTGCATTTCAACATATTCTCTTACTGCCAACTCTTGAAATTAGATGCAGCTTAGCTTCTGTATATGGGACAGGAGGAGGGTCTGCTTGACTAAGATGTCTTCAGCTGGCTTTGATAAAGCCATTGCAGCCATTCAGAAGTTAACTATAAATTGAAAGCAAATCCCGCTTTCTACTAGCACCGATCATGTCACCTAGTTTTGTAATGAAATGTCTGCAAGAAAACAACCAAGCTTAGAGAGCACCAAGGGACACAACACCCCACAACACCACAACATCCTTCTCCCAGGAGATTCAACTTGGACAACTTTTTAAGTTGTGTGGACTTCGGCTCCTAGAATTCCCCAGCCCAAAACACTGCTCTAGATCAGGGGTCTCCAACCGTGGCAACTTTAAGCCTGGAGGACTTCAACTCCCAGAATTCCCCAGCCAGCATGGCTGGCTGAGGGATTCTGGGAGTTGAAGTCCTCCAGGCTTAAAGTTGCCAAGGTTGGAGACCCCTGCTCTAGATCCTAATATTTCTCTCCTGCTTTTCTTAGGGAATCTCCCATTGCTTGATCTCACAAAGAGCAAATCTGAGAGATAAGTTGGAGAGAGAGAGAGAAAGAAAGAGAAAGCGAGAGAGAGAGAAGGAGAGGGGGGGCTGGCCCACAATCACCTCACAAAGTTTCGTAGCTAAAGGTGGATTTGAACCTGGTAATCCTAGTCCAACACCATACTCACTCTATCCAATATTCATTCTGGGTCCCAGAACGCATGCGGTGATTCCCATGAGCTCTGCTCAGTTTCATTCAATCTGCATCATTACTGGTGACAATTAGGGGAATCTAAGCCACTCAGATTCATTTTTTTTTTGACTGAAGTGCCATAAATGCATATTAAGAACTTTATCGACAGAAGCATTATGCAGTCTTCAGCTCCATTTGCAATCTCAGTCTGCCTTTGCTTATAGCTTCTGAAACTTCATAAAGACTAAGAGCACAGGGATCAAATAAAATTATATATAAATGTTTTGCTTCTTTCTTTCTTTGTTTCTCAGTATCCCATTTTTGTTGTGTATGATTGTATATTGTGGTCCTTTCTATTTTTCCCGCAACAACCATCCTGGGAAGAGGGGTGGGCTGAAAGAGAATGACCAGCTCAAAATAATTCAGGTGGCTTCAAGCAGAAAGATGGAATAGAATTATTATTAGCAGCAGCACCAGGAACAAAACAGCCAAGCAGGTCAGGGAAATCAGGAGATTCAGGCAGTTCAAATGAGTTTAAACATTTATCGTGAGCTTAAGCTCTCTACGAGAATCCGTCCAACTAACGGTCAAGGGAAACGAGCGGGAGATAAGAAAGGCATTCAAGGCAAGCAGGGACTCGTGACATAGGACTTGTCTGACCTCTCCCTCGGGCTCAGCCTGGTCATCTCCTACAACAACACAATTAGCAGAAGATGTTGAATTTAGAGGACAACCTTCCGTTGACAAAAAAAAAAAAAAAGGGAAAGTAAGAGGGGAAAAAAGGCATGTTGGTTTCCACTACAGCTAATCCTCAACTTTCAACAGTTTGTTTAAAGCTATAATGGCACTGAAAAAAGTGACTTACGACCGTTTTTCACAGACACAACCTTTGCAGCATCCCCATGGTTATGTGATCAAAATTCAAATGCTTGGCAACTGGTTCCTACTTACGACCGTTGCTGTTTCCCAAGATCTCGTGATTCCCTTTTGTGACCTTCTGACAAGCAATAGTCAAGGGGAACGCCAGATTCATTTAACAACCGGGTTACTAACTTATCCACTTCAGTGATTCATTTAACCACTGAGGCGAGAAAGATTGTAAAATGAGGCAAAGCTCATGTAACAAATGTCTCACTTAACAACAGGAATTTTGGGCTCAATTGTCATAAGTCAAAGTATATATATATATATTGTGCATATGTGATTCTTTGCTTCTGGATTCTGAGTTCTGCTGCATGGGTATTGTATACATGCATCATGCTTTATATTGTTGTATATAAAGAAGTTTCTTTTATAAATGAATCCTGCTGAATCCTTTACTTGTGTGCTGGTTGGATTGGTGCAAACTCTTTAACACTTCCCATATAAAATTCAGATTATTTAGGGAGAGAAGGAGAAAATTTTAAAAATTCCAAACAAATATTTCCTTCAGGTAAATAATGCTGGATGGGTGATATATAACTACAGATAGACGCCTGATCGCAATCTTGGAATCAAATTGATTTCTCTGCTCTCTCTCTCCTGCAGATCCATGAAGATCTGAAGATCTCAAACATCTCAAAATACTTCTCTGCTGCTGAAGGAGAGCAGTTTCACCGGGAAGGAACAAGAAAAAAAACAAAACACAAGGAGAAGTAAAGACCTCCAGTGATAGAAAGAGAAAAATAAAACCCATCATCGGTCTACCCAGGGTTTAGAAAACCAGCCAAGTGAAAACAGTTGCTGAGGTAAATGAATCTCTTTTGAGCTTTTCACAATGCAAAGTTGGCTCAGAGTTTGGTAACGGTGTGTCTTTCCCAGAATCTCACCTGAGAAGAGGTAGAGCATGAAAGGAGCTCTTCTACCACAGGTGGAGTTTGCAAAATGCAAGACATTGGGCTTGTGTGGCACCAGATGGAGGCCCAAGGTGAGGCCTGGCGCCTCTAAGGGAGGAATGAAACCAGAAAGAGAACTCCTAGCCGTGATTATTAATGTTAAGAACTCTGGAACAAATGCAGCCGATAGAAGATAATATTTGCAGCTCTGGGTTGAACTGGGAGGGGGGGGTCCTTGGTGCCCCCTGAGCTTGTTTAAGTGTTGTTTTTTTTCAGCGAGACCGGTCTATCAAGGCAACCTGGTCTACCCAAATATGGGATGGAGCATACTGCTTCGACTTTTGCAGGCAGTCGCTTCCGTGACAAACTATTTTGTGTTAAATTAAAATTTACCAACAAAGAAATAAAAGGGGACTGGTACAGCTATTTCAAGCTCTCTACCGTTCTGGGATTCAAACCCAGGCCACTTGCATATTAGGCAGATGCATTAACCTCTAGGCCATAGACTCCCTTTGCTTTGTAGGTTATACCAAGAGGGAGATTAAGTGTTTCTCCAGTGAGACTGGTCTATCAGGACAATATGGTCTACTCAAATATGGGACAGAGTGTACTGCTTCCGCATTTGTGAGGTCCCTGGTAGTCTTTGAGCTTATTCGTTTTCTTGCAAACATTTCATTACCCAACTAGGTAACATGATCCATGCTAGAAGGGAGTGGGGTTTGCTTTCTGTTTATATATTGACTTTCCCTGTCAGTGTTGGTAGAAGTGTTCTTGGTGATTCAGTAAACAGGCTAATCAAGGAACCGCTAAACCACCAAACCACCAACATTGACAGAGAAAGCCACTTGCATATAAGCGGAGACCAAACCCCACTCCCTTCTACACTGATGATGTTACCTAACTGGGTAATGACATGTCTGCAAGAACACAGGCAAGCTCAGAGAGCACCAAGGACCCCACAAACACAAGCAGAAAGATGGAACAGAATTTATTCTTATTCTTGTTCTTGTTGTCGTTCTTGTTGTAGTGTCAGAGGATATAAACTGTTCCAAGTAGGGTGGTTTTTTGTAGAATCAGGGTATTCAAGTCTGATAAATTTAGGATTTCCAAATAGTGGGGTAGTCCTTTAGGTATTGCTCCAAGGGCTCCAATTACAATTGGGATAACACATGATTTCTTTTTCCAAAGTCACTCAACTTCAATTTGTAAGTCCCGGTTCTGTGTGATTTTTTTCTTCCTGCGTGTCTTTATTATTATTATTATTATTATTATTATTATTATTATTATTATTATTATTATTATTATTATTATTAATCACACAGGCAGCCAGATGTTCTGACTGGGTTTGACATTTTTGTCTACCTATCGAGTCCTTACTAAGGACCTGGGATAGGCAAACCTGGATGTTTGATGGTGTTACAGATATCGCTGCATGATGAAATCTGTTCCAAGTAAAGCTGCCTTCTGCAATTGACTGATGGCAAAATTGTCAATGCCTTTGGTGTTCAAGTGGTGTTCCGGTTGTTTTGGGACTGCATCCAAGGCACCTATTACTATTGGTACTACCCCTGCTTGCCTTTGCCGTAGTCATTCTATTTCTATTTGCAGGTCTTTGTATTTTGTTATTTTTTCCCAGTTCCAGTTCTATCTTCTGCTGTCTCCAGTCACTGCCACATCCACTATCTAGACTTTTTTGTCTTTCTTATCGACAACTATTAAGTCCGGGGTATTATGTAGCAGGTGCCAGTCTGTCTGAAGTCCAAGAGCAATTTAATTTTTTCATTTTCTATGATTTTTTTCTATTTTATGGTCCCACCAGTTCTTGCTTACAGGCAAATGATATTTCTTGCAATCTTCCAGTACACCATTGTTGCTACTTTGTCATGCTGCTGCTCATAGTCAGTTTGTGCAATCTTCTTGCAGCAGTTTACCAGGTGGTCCACTGTTTCTTCAGCTTCTTTGCATGAGTGGCATTGACTGTCTGTTCCTGTCTTCTCAATTCTGGCTTTGTATACATTTGTCCTTAAAGCTTGGTCTTGCGCAGCCAGAATTAATCCCTCGGTCTCTTTCTTTAACTTTCCTGCTCTTAGCCATTGTCAGGTCTTGTTATTATCTGCTTTCCTGCTATTCTTTTTAATGTATGGCCATTGTAGTGCTTTGTCTTCCCATGCCTACATTCTGTTCTTCATTTGGTCTTTCTTGTAGGCCAGTTTGGTCTCTCTGGTAGTCAGCAAGCCTTCCTGGCATATTAACTTCAGTGCATCTTCTTCATTGTCCTTCAGATATTCTTCGAAAGCCCATTTTTCTTCTTTGACTATCTGATGCACTTGCAAAATTCCACGCCTACCTATTTGCCTTGGTATTATTATTATTATTGTTGTTGTTGTTGCTGCTGCTATTATTATTATTATTATTATTATTATTATTATTATTATTATTATTATTATTATTATTATTATTATTATTATTATTATTTATAATATCTTTAGTGAGATTCACAGCCTTTGGGGCTGGTTGGTAACCAAGGACCTAGGAACTGTTAAGGTAGCGTCAGAGGATATAAGCTGTTCCAAGTAAGGTGGGGTTTTGTAGAATCAGGGTATTCAAGTCTGATAAATTCAGAATTTCCAAATACTGGGGTAGCTCTTTAGGTATTGCTCCAAGGGCTCCAATTACAATTGGGATAACACACAAATTTTTTTTGCAAATCACTCAACTTCAATTTGTAAGTCCTGATATTTTGTAATTTTTTTCTTGCTGCTTGTCTTCAATTTGTGCATTACCAGGTATTGCAATGTCAATAAACCAAACCTTTTTCTTTTCAACTATTGTTATGTCAGGTGTGTTGTGGGCCAAGTGCCTGTCAGTCTGAATTTTGAAGTCCCACACGATCTTGACTTTTTCATTCTCCAGAACCTTCTCAACCTGATGTTCCCAGTAGTTGTTACTATACTCAAATCCAAACTTTTGCCACAGTTTCCAGTGAATGATTTTAACAACTCGGTAATGGCATTGTTGTTGTTGTTGTTGTTGTTGTTGTTGTTGTTGTTGTTGTTGTTGTTGTTATTATTATTCACAAAGAACAACAGTATACACAGCAAATGAGATAACTATGCTGGGTTTCGTATCACAAATCACTAGTCGACCACTTCCCAAGCATTTAGGACTGCATGATGTATCGGTACATTATGCAAGCAGATCCCAGTAAGGTGGCCTTCTGCAGCTGACCAATGGTGATTTTGTCAGCGCCAATTGTTTTTAAGCGCTTGCCTGGGTCTTTAGGCACAGCACCCAGTGTGCCGAGTACCACTGGAACCACCTGCACTGGTTTATGCCAGAGTCTCTGCAGTTTGATTTTCAAGTCCTGATATCTGGTGATTTTTTCGAGTTGTTTCTCATCGATTCTGCTGTCACCAGGTATGGCAATGTCGATCATCCACACTTTTTTCTTCTCCACAATCGTGATATCCAGTGTTCCAAAACTTTATCAGTTTGTATTCAGAAGTCCCACAGTTGTTTTGCATGCTCACTTTCGACCACTTTTTCAGGCTTTTTCAGTTCTTTGCTACAGGCAGATGGTAGTTGTGACACAAATTCCAGTGGACCATCTGAGCGACTGTGTTGTGACGTTGTTTGTAGTCAGTCTGAGTGATTATCTTACAACAGCTCAGTATGTGATTGATGGTTTCATCCACTTCTTTGCAGAGTCTGCATTTGGGGTCATCAGCAGATTTTTTCTATTCTGGTTTTAATTGCATTTGTTCTGATGGCTTGCTCTTGTGCTGCAAGAATCAGGCCTTCTGTCTCTGTCTCTTTCTTCAGTGTCAGCCATTATATTATTATTATTAGTAGTAGTAGTAGTAGTAGTAGTACTACTACTACTAGTAGTAGTAGTAGTAGTAGCAGCATTTGGAACACTACGGGTTCTTCTGTCCTGTTGACTATGCCAATCAAATAGCCCCTTGTTCCACAATACCCTATTCTGTCACCACCCACTTTTCTGTAGTTGTCCCCTTTTCTGTCAAGCTGCCAACCTATTCCAACTTCATTGGATTGTTTTATGCCTCTTCCCTCTAGGTTTCCCAATATTTACTCACAGGTTTTTTTTTCCAGCTGGCCTCTTCTAGGTGCATTGGGAGTGTTAATTCCATGGCTTCCAGCAAATTGGGCTGATGCCAGCTTGTAGGAGGTGAGCTAATAGCCTTGCTTTCTGGAATTGGCTGCCTGAGGTTGAGTCTGAACATTTTTATCTGACACTTCTGAAAGCCATCAGGGGGGCAAAGTTACTTTGTTGTTGCTGTTGTTTTTAATGGTGTGGAAAAAAATCTGTTCGGTGCTCCGTTTTAATTATAGCCTTTCTCTGCTGATCTCTGCACATCTGTGGGGAAGGAAAATTCTTTGAGATTTCATGTCGGCTGGGACGGAGGAGGAAATAAAAGAGGGAGATTGAACACTTTGATAGCTCAGAGTTTGAAAGAAACTGCCATCTATCATAACAGGCGCTGCAGCTACCATCTTTAAAACACACACACACACACACACACACACACAAACCATTTAATTTCACTTCTGTTCTTCCTGAAGGCTTCCAGGACTGCTGTCTACCTGATTCAGAATTAACATTTTTAAGGAGGCAGCCTAAAAGCCAACTTAGAAGGCTTTGTAACATGCAAATCCTTTCCGAGTAAGAGCCCTGCCTAGATCTTTCCACCCCCCCCCCAATTTTAATAATTCCAGAGCTATTTCTTCCACAGCGTACGACAATTTTATTTCTTTCAAGGATTTCCCTTACCTTCTGCAGAAATTAAGCATGGGGTTCAGCATCTCCCCCTTGGCATCTTAAGTAGATGCCTATAAAAATCAATGTGCAATAGTCAAAGTGACACGCATTGAGTCTCTTTAAGGGAGCCGTA